CTAAACCCTACACCCTAAAGCCCTAAATCCCTAGCACCCTAACCCTAAACCTTAAAATCCTAAACCCTAAACCTTAAACCCTAACACCTTAAACCCTAAACCATAACCCCTAAGCCTTAAAACCCTAAACCCTAAACCTTAAAGCCCCAAACCCTAAACCTTTAGCCCTAAAGCGCCCGAGGATCCAGATTTGTATCCAGGATCTGGAGGCCATCAGGGTTCGATACAGCCGCGCGCCTGGAATCGGGACGTTTTGTGGGGGGTTCCGTTTAAAGGGATCTAGAGGGGTTCCTTTAAGGGGATATCTAGAGGGGATTCCTTTAGAGGGATCTTTGGGAGTTCCTGTAAAGGGGTCTAGAGGCCCAGACCCCTTAACGGTTGAGGGTTTTGGGTATTTTTCAGAGCTGCTTCAGAGCTTGCAGGCTAAGCCCTAAACCCTAAACCCCTAACCCCCTAACCCCCTAGCCCCGTAAACCCTAAACCCTAAACCCAAAACCTTTACCGTTTTTGCTTGCACCTCCATGAACTCAAGGAATCCTAAAGCCGTGGGCTTGTGGGGCTGCAGCCTTAAAACCAAACCCTAAAGCCTATCAAGCCTAAACCCTAACGTTTAGGGTTTAGGGTTTAGGGTTTAACCTTCCCTAAACCCTAGCCCTAAAACCTAAACCCTAAACCCTGAATCCTAACCCTGAACGCTACACCTTGAACCCTTGAGGCAGCTAGGCGGGCTTAACTTCCAAACCTGAGAGCTTGAGCCCTAAGGCCAAAGAAGGTCTTGCAGGCTCTGGGTGTAGGGCTTAGAGTAGGGGTTTAAGGAGTGTAGGGTTTCAGGATTTAGGGGTTTAGGAGTTTAGGGTTTCAGGATTTAGGGGTTTAGGGGTTCAGGGTTTAGGGGTTTAGGGTTTAGGGTTTAGGGTTTAGGGCGCCAAGTTTTTAGTCTTACCTGGCAATGCATTACTAACTGGACCCCAAGTCACCTATCTGTTCAAGGACCTATGGAAGCACATCCTTATGGGAAGCCCTGAAAAGGAAGGTTTTACAGTGCCCGGTTACCTACTTGCACGCTCTTCATTTCCTACGATCCCGCAACTCGATCGGACTTCGATTCTAGCCCCGAAGTTCCTAAGCCGAAACACGAAACAAACCTTGTCTTAGTTCCCCAACACTTACCCAGCCTTCAAATTTTTTGGGTTCTTATAACTTAGTATAGTAACCTGAAAGTCTAACCTTCTATTCTATTTCCGTTGCTTGTTGGGAATGTAAGTTGAGTTCTAAGTCCTAACCCTCAAGCTCGTTAGAATTAAAGCAGAAACCTTGAACGCTAAATCTCAACCCCAGGCAAGTAGCCCAGACTCTGTTGGAAAAACAAGCCGCAAACCTGAAACGCTAATATGGGAGCCTTAATAATTACCTATATTATTCTGGAGGCCCCTTATTATAAATAACTATTGTTCAACATACCCCCCGGAGCCCCGTTCTAATTATTAAGGCTCCTACATTAAACCCTGAACCTGAATGAACCACAAGTTCGAAGTCCGGATCCCATTGAGGCAAAGGGCGAAGTCAAGTGGAGCCTCTTGACTCAAGCCTCCTAAGGTTTTGCTTGGGTTTGGAGTTCAAGGCTTTTACGGTTACGGGTTTAGGGTTTACAGGTTACCGGTTTAGGGTTCGCTTTTGTAGCAACTTTTGTCGTGCATTTTGCTCCAACAAAGAGGTTACATATTCCCAGTCGGGACTGAGGGTTAAGGGCCTTCTGTTAGGTACAGACCCCAAGCGCCCAACCCTATAAAGCCGACACTTACAATTGCCAGAAAGGGCTAGTGTAGGTACATGAAAGTAACCCCTCAAACCCAAGGCCTTAAAGGTTTAGGGTTTGGGGTGTAGTGCTTTTGATTAGGGTTTAGGGCTTAGGTTTAGCGTGTAGAGGTTGGCCCTAAAACCTAAACACGAAACCCTTTTTGTTTAGGATTAGGGTTCAGGGTTTGGGGTCCACAAGCCTGAAACCCCAAACCCTGAACCGCTATACCCGAAGCCCCAAACCCTGAACCCTAAACCCTAAGCCCAAACTTAGGGCTTAGGGTACAGGGTTTAGGGTTTAGGACATTTCAAGCTACCTTGTTCTCGGCTGCAAAGGTCCTATATAGCAGACCTGAACATAGGGCACTTCTTATGAACTAGGAAGAGCTTCGGAGTCTTGGGTGATATTCATCGGCCCTCTAAAAAATCCGAACCTCTAAGAAAAGGGGTTTAGGGTTTAGGGTTTAGGGGTTAGGGTTTAGGGTTTAGGGTTTAGGTTGAGGGTTCTTGCGCCCCAAAAATGTCGTCGGATGCCTTGTTCGGGGAATGCAAAGCCCCCAGGAGCTGGCTTGGCTTGGACTTTCGGGGTACTTGACAAGCAGATATTCAGTAGTTGAGGGTTTCAGGTTTGGGGTTTAGGGTAGGGTTTAGGGTTTAGGGTTTAGGGTTTAAGGCTTGGGGTTTAGGGTAGGGTTATAAGTATGATACGCCAGTAAGTACGGTCCCTTTCAGAGTACTACAACTTTATGTATCAGCGACTGACCATGTCTCCCAACCCCCAAGCAGTCCTTAAGCTCCACATAGGCTTTAGGGTTTCGGGCTTCAGCCTAGACAGGCGAACGAAATGTTACAACCTGCCCTCATGCCCATATCCCAAGCTTGATCCCACTCAATTAGGATCCTTTTTTTTTGGCTACACATGATTCTACTTACTACTTACTTTCTAAGTCCCCCAGACCCTAAGCCCTAATATCCTCATACCAACCCCCGCTGAAAGGAACCCTTACTAAATTCCCCAATCCTGACAAGACGTGAACCTTAAAACCCTAAACCCAAGGGCCCTAAGCGCTCCATCCTGATCCCTTAAACCCCTCACGGTTTAGGGTTTAGGATTTAGGGTTTAGGGTTACCTTGCACACCCCTACAAGCCCCTGCAAGGCCCTTCAAACTCCTGTAATTTCCCTCTACACCCCTCACTAGAAACCGCCGTATGCTTAACTAAAGCCATCTAGCGACTTGCAAATAGCGAAAAGCACATAAAGAACCCTTAGAAAAAGCCCCTTAATGCCTTGCAACCCTCATCCCTTGTCTACTACCTGCGGAGTTCTTAAACCCTAAACCCTAAACCCTGCAGCCGCAGTTTCCGTCCAGCACCAACGCCACCTGATCTGCCCGGAGCTCCTCTGAGTTGCAGGCTTCTGTAGCCGAGGGAAGAAGGCGCTCAAAACAAAACCCTAAACCCCAAAACCCTAAACCCCAAGCTCTAAACCCCAAACCCCAGACCCTAAACCCCTAAACCCTAAACCCCAAACCCTCAACCCCAAACCCTAAACCGAGACCCTAAACCCCAAACCCCAAACCTAAACCCCAAGCCCCAGACCCTAAACCCCAAACCCTAAACCCCAAACCCTGAACCCTAAACCCGGAGGTCGACTGTCCTGCTTTTTGCGATTGGCCTCCTGATGCTTTGGCCGTGGCTTGGGCTTCGCCAGCTTCAGTTTCAGGGTTTTTCTTCAACAAGGGATTTATAGGGGGTTCCTTAGAGGGGTCCTTAAAATGGTCCCTTCAAGGGCGAGTACAAGCCTTGAGGGTTTGGGTTTTTTGGGCTTCAGATCTTTGGGGCCTAGGGTTTAGGGTCTAGGGTTTAGGGTTTAGAGTCGCTTTTCGGGTTTATGGTCTAGGGTCTAGGGTTTTTAAAGTCACTTTTCAGCTGGAGGGTTCCTGTGAGGGCGCTTTCAAGGGTTCCTTTCAGGGTTCCTTTGCTGGCTTGTCTGTAGGGCTTCCGGGTTTGAGATTTGAGGGTGTTTAGTAACCCCCAAATTAAGGAACATCTTACATCAGAATAAGAAGCTCTGGATAACCTTAAAGCCGTAGCACTTTCCACAATTACGGAGTATTGACCTCCCTGGTGTATAAAAGACATATTTGGGGCGCATTCTTTTCATTGTCATGTGGATAGTACTCTAAATTAGGATCCCACCAAGGGTCCTTTTTATAAGCGTGCCGTACTATTTTAGGGACCTAAAAAGGGACCCTACTTTAGAGAATTACCTTTATAGTACCCTTATAGAAAGCCTTATAGATCCCTTTAAGGGATCCCTAAAAGGGTACCCTACTTTAGACGACAAAGCTCCACGGGGCAGAAAGGCATTAGATTCAGGCGGCTTAGGGCTAAGCCCTAGGCTCAGCTATCGTAGTTTATCGTTCTTTACAAGGGAGTTTCAGAAGATCGGGACACCGAACCCTAAACCCTAAACCCTAAACCCTAAACCCTAAACCCTAAACCCTAAACCCTAAACCCTAAACCGTCAGAGCCCCACAGCAGCCTTCAACCCTAAATCCCCTCACCCAGTCAGAGGCCGGCGAGACCAAACTCGAGGGGCTTTAGGGTTTAGGTCTTTAGGGCTTTAGGGCTTTAGGGCTTTAGGGCTTTAGGGGTTTAGGGTTTAGGGTTTAGTATTTGGAAGTTGAGGGTTTTAGGGTTTTAGGGTTTAGGGTTTAGTGTTTTAGGGTGTAGGGTTTACGTTTTCTAGCATTGCTACGACGACCGCTGCTGCTGCTACGACGACGCCTTCAACAACTAGCTACTTCGACTACGAGTACTTTCAGTTTCATCGTGTAGGTGATATATATATATATATACACATACACATACATATCTATATCTAGATATATATATATATATATACGCACAGAGAGAGAGAGAGAGAGAGAGAGAGAGAGAGGGAGAGAGGGAGAGAGCGAGCGAGCCTTGGAGCAGGCTTTTTCGCCCGAAGGCCCTATTGCCGGCGCTCCCACAGTGTTGTTCGACCGTCGTATCTCCCATAGTGGTGGTTTCTGTTACCAAAGTACGTAATTCAGAGAAATGGACCACTCATGTAGAACGACCCTTAATTACTGTTTTGGCTGTTCCCCTGGCATCGACTACATGTCTACCTGACTTGTTTTGCCTGACGTCGTGTCAGTCAGTGCCTTCCTCCGCAATGCTTCATGTTTGGAGACCTTCTGGGCAAGAGCTGGCCGTGGTGAGCGCAGAGGATTTCAAGGATGCAGTGGCTTTGAAGGAGCATTTGCGCAAGCTGCATGGTTTCCCTGTGTCTTTGCAGCAACTTCTGCATGATGGAAATCTCCTTGCTGATGACGCAGCTCTGGCTGGCCTTACGGATCTTCAAGTAGTTCTTCTGACCATCGCCGACCCTGCGCTTACCAACAAAGATGCACGTTTCTTGGAAGACTCTTGATTATTTGATGCTTTCCCTTCCTTAAGGTGATCTGATGTGTTGAGATTCTTCGACAGAAATTATGGGGAGAAGCTAGGCTCAGCGGCAGCAGAGCTGCGGGATGCTTCTCGACGGAATCGTCAGGAGGTGGTGCGATGCCTGCTGGAAGCTGGGGCTGACAAAGATGGCGTGGAGTGTGACGGCGCCACCGCGCTGATGCTCGCATCTGAGCGTGGTCACCTGGAGGTTATCCGTTTGCTGTTGGCAAGTGGTGCTGCAGCTGATAGGCCAGACTTTTCCGGGCGGACTGCTCTTATTCGCGCATCTCAGCGTGGTCACGTGGAGGTTGCACGACTGCTGCTGGAAGCTGCTGCTGAGAAAGATGGCGCTCAGGGTGACCTCGCCACGGCGCTGATGATCGCATGTCATCGTGGTCACCTGGAGGTTGTTCGCTTGCTTCGGGTAGCTGGTGCTGGAAAAGAATGCACCGGGAATCGCGGCGAGACAGCCCTAATGCTCGCGTCTGAGAGAGGTCACCCGGAGGTTACACGCCTGCTGCTGGAAGATTCTGCTGAGGTAGATGCCAAAGACACTTTTGGGAACACAGCCTTGATGCTGGCATCTGGCAGCGGTCATTTGGAGGTTGCACTTTTGCTTGTAGAAGCTGGTGCTGGTAAGGATTGCTGGAATCACAGCAGCACGACAGCTCTCATGCTCGCATCTGGCAGTGGTCATCTGGAGGTTGTCCGTTTGCTGCTGGAAACCGGGGCTGACAAAGATTGCTGGGACGATGATGGCATGACAGCCCTAATGTGCGCATCTCGAAGCGGTCATATTGAGGTTGCACGTTTGCTGTTGGACTCTGGCGCGAATAGAGATTGCTGGAATCACAATGGCATGACAGCCCTAATGCTTGCAAATCGGTTTGGTCGGGGTCAGGTTGCACGAGTTCTGCTAGAAGCTGGTGCTGCCAAGTGGCAATGAGCCCCCCCCAAAATGCAGAATCTGACGATCAGCATGCTTAGTTTTTGGGGTAGTTGCGGAGGTTGTAGTAGGGCATTTGGCGTGTTTCGCTTCCGACGTTTGTAGTCGCTGTAGGGCTTAAGTTTAAGGTTTAGAACACTGCGACTTCCTAAAGCTCAAAAACCCCAAAACCCAAAACCCTGCACCCCAAAACCCCAAACCCTGAACCCTACACCCCAAAACCCTAAACCCTGAACCCTGAACCCTAAAACCCTAAACCCTGAACCCTGAACCCTAAAGTTCAAACATCCCAAAACCCGAAACCTGACAACGCAGAACTGTGCAGGCGAGCTCCCCCAAACTGGGGTTTAGGGTTTAGGGTTTAGGGATTAGGGCTCAGGGTTTAGGGTTTAGGTTTTGGGCCAGCTGGGGCTTGGGTTTAGGGTTTAGGGTCTGGATCATAGGCGGTTTGGGGTACCAACCCTCAACCCTAAACCCGAAGCCCAAAAACCCCTAAACCCCCTACACCCCCTAAACCCCCTAAACCACCTAAACCCCTAAACCCCCTAGACCCCCTAAGCCCTAGGCCCAAAAACCCCAAGACCAAGCCTTTTGAGGGTTTGGGGCTTTCGGGTTTAGGGCTTTGGGGTGACTAGGAACCCAAAGGTTCCCGAACTTCAGCATTTTCCTAGAGGGTCCATATATACTACTATCTTGGAAATATGTCCCCAAAACCATAGTAACGATGGGGTCTTTATGGGCCCGTTTCCATAATGCCAGTATATATACACATATGTATATACGGACCCTCTGGGTTATAGTCGTTAATAGTGGGTGCAGGGCATTGGTTTTAGGGTTTAGGCCCTTGCGATGAGAGCTATGGTCCTACGAATCCTTATTCGTGGGATGTATTCATGGCTCTCAATCCTGGGCGTTTGGGATAATGTGAGGGCCTAAATAATTAACTATAACATTTTGCGGGGTTCCTTAGTATAATCATAGTAAAGCCCGATGCTAATTGTGAAGGCCCCTACATTACAAAAGCAGGGCAGATAGGGCCACACACGTCAGTAAAAGGCCGCGTGCTTTCCTGCAAATTTTGCGGTTTGGAAGCTTTCGCTGTGGATTCTAGGCGCTGCCAGGATCGGACTTTGTTTAACGTTACTTGGGGAAGGGGAGTGGGGAGTGGGGGTTGGGGGGGAAGGCTGATTTCGTTCTGGCGCCGCCAACTTTGTCTGAAAAATGGGCTTTGAAGCCACGCCTACCAGTAAAAGTCCTGACAGTGCTCGGGTTTGGAGAAGCCAGGATTCTGAGGAACGAAAAAATTGGGCTTTGAAGCCATGCTGCCAGCAAAAGTCAAGACAGCACAGACCTGCCTTTGAAAATCACATTCAGGAGCTGTGCAGAGAAAACGTGCGACGCTCTAAGTCTCAAGGCTACATGATCCCTGAAAGTCATTTTCACGAGCATATCTGCACTTTCTTGACTTTTGCTGGCAGGAAACCTGGCTACCGAAAACCCCTGCGGTCTTTCAGGTACGTGTGACCAGATAGGGGCTCAAACCCTCGCACCGAAACATTAGAAAGGTTAGAAGCACCTAATATGGAGCCTGAGGCCTTTCTAGAGACCCTTAAGGGTACATATAGGGTATATAGTAGGTGTATAAGGATCCCAGGGTTAAGGGCCCATACTAGGGGCCCATGGTTTCAACCTTAGAAACAGGCGAATTCTATGTCGACATCCCTCTGACGGAAGAGCCTCGAAACAACTAGGAGTACGACCTAGAAAGATCATCTTCATGGCCTTTCCATCGAATGCCCTTTAGATCCATGTTCTAGTTGCCAAGGCCCCCACATGAAAGTGTTGGACCCTTGTGTGATGTTTTGCTCTAGCCCGTGGCAGCCCGAAAGCCTAAATCTAAACCCTTCTACACTACCCCCCCCAACCCTAAACCCTAAACCCTAAACCCTAAACCCTAAACCCTAAACCTTAAACCCTAAACCCTGAACCTGAAGCCTAAAAGCCAAACCCTAAGCCCTAACCCCTCAAACCCTGAACCCAGCCCACGGCTCCCTCTCAAGCAGAACCGGGTTCCTTTCAAAGGGTTCCTTGAATGTTTCTATTACAGGATCTCCAGAAGGTCCGACAGTCTAGGGTTTAGGGTTTAGGGTTTAGGGTTTAGGGGTTTAAGTGTTTAGGGTTTACGGTAAGGGCCTTAATCAAGATTCGGGGGTCCCCAAACCCCAAACCCCAGGTGGACCAACAATGTCGGACCACTGAGCCGGGACATGTTGGAGGTCAAGCGCCAGCATCTCGACATCTACCCTAAACCCTAAACCCTAAACCCTAAACCCTAAACCCTAAACCGTTTCAGGGAAGCGTGCGCTTGTTTATAAGTTTTCGGGACCATCACGGCCCTGATTGTTGGTTTGTTTCTTTCTCTTCTGGTTGGTACTGTATGAGCCTCGATTGGGGCCAATTGAACGCTTTGAAGTGTTGCATTGGGAGTATCCCTTGCAAGACTTGTTTGGGTGTCATACGAGTTTGTAGGCCTGGTACCTTGGAGTTTCTCACAATCATGGATGTATTTTATAGGGTGTTTTCGTGAGGAATTATGTGGGGTATTCATTTCGGGGTTCGTGTGTGTCCGCCCATTTGTTTTTCTGGGTATGCATGCATGCATGCATGCATGCATGCATGCATGCGGGCATACATGTATGGTATGCTTTGTATGCATGTATGTGTGTATGTACGTACGTATGTATGTATGTACGTATGTATGCAGCTGTATGCATTATGCACAATTGTAGGAGCCTGATTAAGAAACCCTGGCGCTATAACCCCAATCAATATATGAGGGTTCATATAATGAACCCTAATAAAGGCCCAGGGTTTCTTAATCAGGTTCCTACATTATGTGTACAGCCAGCAGCCCGCTGGGTGGGCTGCATGCGTATGACCCAGAGCTGGAGTCACAGATGACAAGGTGACGGCAGTACCTATAGTGGTTTAGGGTTTAGGGTTTGGGGTTTAGGGGTTAGGGTTTAGGATTTAGGGTTTAGGGTTTAGGGTTTTAGGGTCTACGGTTTGGGTGTTGGGTTCCGTGACTTCCAGTTCATGCACAGCTTCCACTTTTCCACGGGCCAGATCCCCTAAACCCTAAACCCTAAACCCTAAACCCCTAAACCCTAAACCCTAAACCCCTAAACCCAAAACCCTAAACCCTAAACCCTAAACCGTCTACTTGTGCAAGCAGAGAGATATCACCCGGGCCTGAGTAAGTTCAGGGTTCAGGGTTTCAGGTGTAGGTTGTGACTAGAACCCTAAAGAACGACTCTTTTTAGTGTTCTTGTTTCCAAAAAACATTGCTATTGTTACGGGTTCCTTAAAATAGGCCTAATATGATATACTCCAAACTCATGTTCTAATCTTGATAAGGTGGGGGTCGACGGCTTGGGATTTAGGATTTGGGTACTAGACCTTGCCGTTTAAAGGGGTTTACCTTTGGGGTTCCAGGGTTTAGGGTTGTAGGGCTTCGGGGTTTAGGGTTTAAGGGTTTAGGGGTTTGGGGTTCTAGGGCTTTTTTTAGGGGTTTAGGGTTTAAGGGTTTGGGGTTTAGGCTTGCGGACTCAGTTTAGGTGTCTCGAACATGCAGCCAAGCCCTAAACTCTAAACTTTATGTCCTGCGCTTACGCGGTATATCCTAACCCCTATACCCTAAGCCCTAAACCCTAAATCCTAAACCTCAAGCCCCAAACTTCAGACCGAAAAACCCTAGAGCCCTAGAGTTTAGACTCTACTTAGGCTCTCGATCCTTGCCCTGAACCCTAAAGCCTACACCCTAATCGCAATCTCCCAGGTTCGTAGTCCTGCCCTGCCTGAAACCCAAACGGCTTCGAGTGTAGGGTGTAGGGTTTAGGGTTGAGGGCTCTGGGTGTAGGGTTTAGGGTGCAGGTTTTAGGGTTTGGGGTCTAGGGTGCAGGGGGTAGGGTTTAGGGTTTAGGGTGTAGGGTTCAGGGTTTAGGGTGCAGGGTTTAGGGTTTAGGGTGCAGGGTTTAGGGTTTAAGGTTTAGGGGTCGAGGGTACAGGGCTGGTTGAGGGCTCCAGGCTCCAAAGAGGTTCAGACTTTCGGGTTTAGCGTTTAGGGGTTTAGGGTTTGGGTTTAAGGTTTAGGGTTTAGGGTTTAGGGGTTTCGGGTTTAGGGTTTAGGGTTTAGGGTTTGGGTTTAGGGTTTAGGGTTTCATCGCCTAGTGCGAGTTGAGGTTTTTTGGTGCCTAGGTGCCGGAAACCAAGATTCAAGCACTGCACCGTGGCGGAGGATTCACGCACCAAACACTGAAGGGCCGAAGTCTTACACCCTAAACCGCGACACTGAACCCTGAATGCCAAAGCCAGAACCCTAAACCCAAACCCTGAAACCCATGCCCCAAACCCTAAACACTGAACGCTGTACCCTGAAACCTGCGTCCTAAACCCTGAAACATGCACTCCGTACACCGTAGAGCCTGCAAACATTCTCCATGACGAGGTGCTCGTGCAGGATCTGTAGCGGCCGGTTCGCCGCAGTAGTGGAGGTGATACGATCCTTTCTCAAAGCTGCAACTGTAAAAACATCACTTTGATATCGAGAGTGCCCCTCTTCCTGTCAATTTCAGGAAACGAAATGAAGGGTATAAGCGTACCACTGCGAGACCTACGTTCATAGCCCAAGACTTTGGTTGACAGTGCACTGAAGCCGTGACAGCTCCACAACAGACCCTTAAACCCTAAACCCTGAAGCATGCGACCCGCGCAATGGGCTCGTAGGGCTTTGGGTTTAGGGTTTAGGGTTTAAGGGTTTAGGGTTTAGGGGTTTAGGGGATAGGGTTTAAGGGTTAAGGGGTTTAGGGGTTTAGGGGTTTAGGGGTTTAGGGGTTTAGGGTTTAGGCGTTAAGGGCTTAGGGTTTAGGGTTTAGGGGTTTAGGGGCTTAGGGTTTAGGGGTTAGGGTTAGG